GAGAGAGAGAGAGAGAGAGAGAGAGAGAGAGAGAGAGAGAGAGAGAGAGAGAGAGAGAGAGAGAGAGAGATATATAGATTGGAAAGGCGGCTCTTTGTTCGCGGAGCCGCTTCAAGTAACAAGCAAGCAACCTTCCTCATGCGGTGACGATCGTTTTGCTCGATCGTTCGCAAGACGGCGTCCGAGCAAGCAAGGAAACGAGACAGAAACGGTCGACATCTCATTCGTCCAAGCTCGCTCATTCGCAAGACGGCGTCCGAGCAAGCAAGGAAACGAGACAGCAACGGTCGACATCTTCATTTGCTCAGCATCCGCGTGTACCGCCATCGGCTGATTAAACGACGCAAGAACTTGCGCTCAGCTGCATCCTTGAAGTCCGCGGCCCGAGCACGAAGCACGATGTCGCGAACAGGCGCCTCTGTAAGCAGTCTGGTATAGCTGCTTCCCTGCCTCTCTCCGAGACACGCAGCCATCCTCGCCGAAAGACCTTTGCGCAACTGCACCTTGTCGAAGTGCGCTGCGTGCACACGCATGAAAATCGCAGAGGTCCGATCGAAGACATCGAGGTAAAACTCCGGCATTCGCAACCGCCAAGTGCGCCGGAGCGTCGCGGCGACCGCAGAAGCCCAGCTCCGGGACACGGCGGTCATCGCCTGTCGTTGTCGCACTCCCACCTGCTCCAGCCTGATCATGACCACGTCCCCTCTGACCCTGGTAGTCACACTCGGAATGAACAGCCGCCACTGTTCCGCGCGGTCGAGAACCCTTTGCTGGCAGATGCCATCTCGACGACAATAAAAGTAGCCCTGGACATCGCGATGGGCGGTCACGACGGCGTGTCCGTCCCTCCAATGAACCTGCACACTCACGTGAACCCACATTGCATCGCACAGCAGCTTTTCCAGCAACGGCGCCGGCAAGCAAGAAGCCTTCGCCATCGCTGGTTCTGCCGCCATATCAACAGCTTTTCTTGAACCAGACGAGACGTCGTCACGTGTTTCCATGGCTAACGCCGGTGAACTTCTAGGGAGGCACCGAGCTTTCGCAAGACAGCGTCGACTCGGCAATGAATGAACTTCTAGGGGGGTACCGAGCTTTCGCAAGACAGCGTCGACTCGGCAATCAAAAGGGTATGAACAGCAATGGAGCCAAAGCTTCGTCGCAGAGCGTGACGGGTTTTCGATCTTGATGTAACTAAATACGCAGAGACCTCTTTTCCCGGGCACCTGGCGCCATGGCAATGACGCGACTCGGCAAAGGCCTGGGCAGCCAGACCAATGCCCAAACCACCGAAGAATCCAAATCCGAACATGAAGGCCCGACTCACGAATCGAGGGTCGGGTTATTGTGTGGAAGCTTGACAGGCTGACCACCTACAAGAGAGCATGATGTTGGTTTATTTCATGGGGTGCAACCTACCCCGATACCGAGGGTCCGGGTGGGACTTATGTTCTGCTCGTCGACTATATGGTCTATGAACATACATACAGACCGAGCAGGCGAACACCGATCATCATGGTTCCGACACTTCGAGGGCAAGGGCAACTCGCATTCATCGGAGGGCTTTCGCATTAGCTCAAAGTACGAAAGGTATAGACCAGAGCATGATGCGGGGTTTATTCACTGGGGTGCAACTTACCGCGGCACCGAGGGTTTGGCTAGGACCTACATTCTGCTCGTCGGACAACGATCATCATGGCTTCGTTGCTTGGAGGGCGAGGACAACTTACATTCATGGGAAGGCTTTGGAATCAGGTCAAAGTACGGAGCCAGCAGTAGCTGCAAATCCTGGCGTGGGGCCTCCAGAGGCGTCATGGTGACGAGAGTCGAGAAGGGACTCAGATGGAAGAACGAGCACGCAGGCAAACGGCAGCCTAGGGAAACCACGTGTGAATTGTTTGCACATGCGATTCCACTGCGGGTTAAGGTTCTTAGGGACCTAAACCCAACTGCGATGAGGGTGCGGCAGCATCTGTGCACCTCGGCCAGCGCTAGGGCGAACACTGGCCGCACGAGGACGAGCGCCAAAAACGCGTTTGCGAAACACCTCTATAATTAAGACGCAGCACTAGTAGGGAGCAGTGATTCCAGCAGCAATGTAATGAAGCAACAAAAGGGAGGAAGAGGAAGAACGAGTCTTGAGCTTCTTATGAAGTTCGTCGGAGTTTCAAAAAGGTTATCAGCATCTAGATAAGAATACCACGATTGTGGGGACATGTACAATTCCCCTTTGAGGAACTATGTCATATAAACAATTGCAAGGGTAATCATTCAGTATTGCCCGCAATGATATTTGGGCTAGCAAACATATTTGCGAAATATATCAAAATGGCGACTGCTGACATGCTGCTCACTCGATTGTTTTACGCTAATCGGCAAACTGGGGATGAATCCTGTTGCCGGGCCCCTCGGCCCGGCATAAGATATGAGCCACAGCTCATCGTGACGTGCCCGGTTTAACCGTGCACCTCGAAGCATAAATCCCCCCCAGGGTTGGGCGGGCGGGACAAAATTTTGTTTTCCTCATTCACACTGATTGAGGAAACTGGCAACGGCATGAGATCATGAATAATTCACTCAGCAATTCATGGAAAATAAAAGATCATGCAATCAATAGTGGTGTCCATGAAAAGCAATCCAGTGGAATCAAGAAGAGTGCATCGTCTTCTCTTTTTTTTTTTTGAAACCGCCTTCCCATGGAAGGCTGTCCGACGTTTCATAAAGGTATATCGTGCGCGGTCGACAGAGTTCTTATGAAGTTCGTCGGAGTTTCAAAAAGGTTATCAGCATCTAGATAAGAATACCACGATTGTGGGGACATGTACAATTCCCCTTTGAGGAACTATGTCATATAAACAATTGCAAGGGTAATCATTCAGTATTGCCCGCAATGATATTTGGGCTAGCAAACATATTTGCGAAATATATCAAAATGGCGACTGCTGACATGCTGCTCACTCGATTGTTTTACGCTCATCGGCAAACTGGGGATGAATCCTGTTGCCGGGCCCCTCGGCCCGGCATAAGATATGAGCCACAGCTCATCGTGACGTGCCCGGTTTAACCGTGCACCTCGAAGCATAAATCCCCCAGTCTGCTTTAGCCTTGAGACACAATCGACTTCAGAGCAACTTTCGACAGCGGACACCTGGGCACCTCCACGCGTACAGACCAGTGGCTAAGCTCGGAAAGCGATCCACGGCTCGGGGCGTCTGCAATGTTGGAGGCGGATGGCACACGTGCTATCCATAAATAGCACGGTGAAGCTTCCTGCGGGTTTTCAAGGATCATAAGAATTTCCCGCCAAATCGCGACGGATGCATCTCCTTTGACAAGAGTATCAAGTGCTGGCCAATTGTCGACAAACAATATCACTCGGCTGCCGTCCAAGTGTTTGCGCCAATGCCGAAGAGCCAGAATGGCGCCGTAAAGCTCCACAAGACCTATGACATGTTTCTTGCCATCGGATCTCCAATGAGACAGTACGTTTGCCGGCACCTCGCATCCGAAAGCGTAAGCGTTGGGCTCATTCGGTTTAAACATGACCGCCCCCACAGTAGCCGGTCCGTGATCAAGGTTATCATCCTCCAGTGCTCCGTCTGTGAACAGCAGAATCGGCTTTTCTTTCCACCCAGCCCGGATGACACGAGGCTTTCCATGCGTCAATCTTTGCTGAAGAATCTTAAGCGCTTCGATCCCGCTGGCATCAAGGGAGACCGGAATCCTGGAAGTAAACCCTAAAGACCTAAGGTCGTGCATGGCCATGCGCCCTGCTCGGCCCCATATTTGGCCGTCGGCGAACTGGAGCTTGCCAATGAAGGACGGCAGTCGGCAAGGGACTAAGGCCTTGTCCCTGAGCACTTCCTCGATCACTGCATTAAGCTCCTCACACCGCGACGGCTTGTTCCTGATGTTGATTAGGCCCTCCGAGCTCTGGGACACATCCAGAGTAACTCCCAAGACTTCGACACCCGAAGAGAAGGGGGTGCATTTCTCCTCTGCAAAGTCAAACCCCGCTAGCTTAAGGAAACCCTTAACTAAAGCCGAAGTTGACGTGGCCACCAGCGAGTGAGTCGCCATAGGGAAGTCGTCGAAGTATGCTGACCAGCACGCTCCCAAGTGGCACCCTAGGGCATGCAACAGTAAACTGACCCGCAGAAAGTGGTACACCGAGGCCAACGCTCCGAATGGAAGCGTGCGCATGACAAAGCACGAGATGGATCCTGTCTTGGGATCCTTCAAGGTCACCACACTTTTGTCGAAGTCGCAAGGGTTCAACGGTAGTTGTTTGTATGCTGATTTCAAGTCCAAGGTGGCGACTTGCATGCTCGCCCCCGGCTTCTGCCAATCAGGATGGACGAGACCTGTCAGTCTCTCTCCGGAGGATAAGGTAAAGTCGACTGCTCCTCGCTTCCGGTAGAAGTGGCACAACACGGAAAGAGACCATAAAAGATGGTCCATCGCCTGAAGCACGATTCGCTCGCTCGTAGAGCAGGCTTGGTTTACAAGATTTTTTTTTTTTTTCACAAGCAGCGTCCCCGGTGGTCGCCTAGCTCAGGCACTACAGGTTTTCAACCTGGTGTCTCGAGGACACTTTGCCCCTAGCACTGGCAGCCAGTGCAAAAGCACACGCCCGGCACGAATGCCCAAGCGACGTATGCACGGTAACTAGAACTAGCACTAACAAAAAAGTTGCGAGACTACAGAGCCGGAGCAACTGCGACAACCACAGCTACACAGCACACTCACTGTACCGTGACAAGTGGAGTGCCTAGACAGCTATTCCTAGAGCGATCCGACACCGAGGATGCAAGGGCGTCCCCAGAGACATCCAAGCAGTGAGCACACCCGTCCGTAACACCGAAGTGTCCGACAACAAGCATAGCCTCCTGCGACCAGCGAGGACTAAGCAAGGTGCACGTGCAGTGGCCGTAACCGCTCATGAAGTTTCCGTCTATGTACCCTGACTCAGCATGGACTTCAAAGAGAAAACCGCAGCATCACATGTACGGGTCGGTGTCATGTTCGCACGTGGCCACTGAAAAGCCAGCTTCCTGCAGAGAGAGTAGATGATCCTGACCGAGGCGCCAAGCATCCCGGATGTGGAAGGCGCAAATCATCACTCGCTCTCCGACCCATGGCATGACAGCATGAGGATGTGTGGCATCAAACGAGACATAAGGATGCCGTATAGGTTGGATGTTGCCAAGCATCAACGTGCCCGGATAAGCCACAGTCCCCGTCACATCAGCGAGCCAAAGCTCGCCTCCATCCCAGCATCCAGCAGGAATAAGAATGTTGTGAAAAACTCTGCTGTTGTGCGCATCCACATGTACACCGGACCTCCAGTTGAGCGTGAGCGAAACTGTAGTGTAAGGTTTGTCGCCGGCCACATTGCGCACAATGTCGCAGAGAAGTTTTGCCACCCATGGGAAGGCAGCGAGATTGCTACGTACACCAGCATTGCCTCCGAAAACATAAGCGCCAGTTGTGAAGCAGCGGGGTTCCAAACAGAAGTTGTCCAACCCAGCATCTGAAAGCACATGTTTTCGAGGTTTGTTGTCTGGTGGGAGCAACTCGCAAAGTACACGAAGCTGATTAAAGGAAACGAAGCCGCGATGCAAGCAGTCAAAAGCAAACTTGTTGACATGATCATTGGAGTCGTACAAGTGCACCGGGATGTATGGTACCACAGGAATATCGAAGCCATCCGAACGTAGTGAGGCCTCAGAAGAGGCTGACATGGCATCCGATGCATCAAGTAGCGTGAGCAGCGGCACATCGGGGTCGCAATCTGCAGAGGCGCAGCTGTCCTGGTCCACGGCTCTCGGATCGAAGTAGTAGAGTTCGGGGGTGAGAGTGGTTTCGAACCAGGGCGCCTGGATCCGTACTACCCCATCCCGTAAAGTCCACTCCATCGGAGACGCAGGCGACATATTGCAACGTAGCAGAGGAATGTACTGGGCAATGCGTGAAACCTGGACATACATGAACAATGTCACAGTGTAGTGGAGGTGCATACCAAAGAAGAAGAATGAATGACGAAGCGGCCGACGCGCAAAAGCATGTATCTCACGGCGAGGCGAAAGTATGCGAACTGGTGCTGCAACACTGTACAGAAGCAGCCTAAGGGCCCTCGTGAGGCCCATCTTGACCCCAGCGGGGTCAGCATCACCTGAGTATACAGCTAGCGCGGTCAGCAGCTGCCCACTGCTGGATCCAGCCGCCTGCAGAGGAACATGTATGCGGCATCGGAGCTGTGACGACCTTCTGCTGGCTGTGGCCGCGGCTGTGGAGCTACCCCATCATCACAGAAAAAAGCGGAATCTGGCGCATGAAGCATGATTGTGTAATGTCCACAAGTGAGCGTGTTGCCATGGTGCATGATGACCGCCTGAACTGCAAACTTTTGCGCGACGGAAGAATTCCCCTGACCATCGAACACAGGCACATAAACTTTTGAGGACCATGTGACGGCGCAATTGTTGCGAACGAGATCACCTTCTTGCCGATAGCGAGCAAGCCTGAAGATCAGTAGCGTGGCATCGCCTGTCAAGGCATGTGTGCGCGCCTGCTCATGCCAAGCATTCGCGAGTATCTGCAAGTCATAGGGCCCCTCCTGCCCCGGTAAATCCAGGGTGATGGCATGCCGACTGTTTCCCCTGTCCGCAACCTCGCTGGCTACTGCAACATCGTTACCAATGCGAGCCTCCCAATCCCATGTGAAAGTACTGGCATGCAGCTTGTCAAGTAAAAAAGCTAGGAATTCGGCAGCATCGTGTTGTGACTGCGGAGCACCCCAGCTGTGCAGCAGCATCCTCCAGATCGGTATGCCGAAGATGTGGACGGGCTTGTCTTTATGCTGAAGTATGAGCCTGAGCGCTTCACGACCCGTCTTGGTAAACATCGCAGATGAATCAAGATGATCGGCCATAGTCCACAGCAGACCTCGCAGTGCCGCATTCATGTAGCAAAAATTCGAGGGGTTCCTCAGGATCAAGGTGCGCACTAGCCCATGAGCTCCAGAAGCCGCTGCGCTGCGGGCGAGCGCTTGAAACCCTCCTTCCGGAACTGAACTCCGCACAACTGTAGAGCTGCCAGGCCTTGAAGCTTTTCCAGCTCGCCGTAGAGCTCGTTTGCCGAGGCCTTGCGGAACGAGACATCCATGACCATCGTGAGCACCTGGCCGCTCATCTGCTCGGCCAATGGCCGAGTGGCATGAAACCTCGACACCGTGTCTCCGCTGACTAAGGTCTTCATGTCCGTCAGGAGCTGTATCACTGATGACGTGGGAATCGGTGCCCTGCTTTCGTCGACCTCCAGCTGTTGGCGGGCCGGGGACCAAGCCTGATACACCCACATCTGGTCCTTGGTGCACCATCCGTTCTTCATCGCCAAGTCGATCTGCGCCTGGTCCTCGGCCTGCATGGTCAGGCACAGCTTGTGAAGGATGCACCACAGCAGAGCCGAGCGAAGCGATGTGCCCGTCATGGGGCTCTGAGGGTTGGCGATCTCCTTCTTCCAGACCTGTGCAGCCTGAAACAAGTCCGGCACTACGGTCGGTGCCGGTACCCGAAGCCACCAAACCCAGCCCGTGGATTGACGCAACACCGCCATCACATCTTCCTGCCGAATCAGCATGCGACTCATGAGTGCAATGGCTTCTGCATACCAGTCCGGTTCCTCGTTGGAACCATTGGCTGAGCTGGAGAATCGGCTGGCCTGGTACTTCTTTTTGCCCTTGCCCTTGCCTTTTCCCTTTGGCGCCCCTGGTTTGTTTGTTTTGGTCGGTCGATCCTGCTGCGCCGTGGTGACATCCACTTCCAGCATGCGTTTCCCCAGCACCGGTCCGAACACTTCGCTGAACGCTGCTGCGACTTGGGAGTCCTCCATCTTGATCTGGGATATGTGCCGGGCTGGTGGGGTTACGCAGGGCTCTAGCCGGTGATTGTTGAAGAACAAGTGCAAGAGCATTCTGAAGAATTTCAGGACAGGCATTTGCGTGCTTGAGTTTCTTGCTGTAGCCACCTTGACAGAACTGACATGTTGCCCCGAGTTTGGAAGCCCAGCTGCTGCACAGCAGTTTGACTCGCGATTGAGCCTGCTCCCAGACATCAGCATGTGCAGTGGCAAGATGTTTCTGCAACAAGCGACTGGTACACTGCACATCACAGAGCTGGCACCGATTATTCCAGCGTTTGCGGTCCGATGCTTCGGGGAAGGAAATCTCTTCCATCTCTGGCTCAGCCTCGTGCAGGGAGAGGTGCATAGTCCTGATCATCGACAGCTGGAACAAGACATAACATGTGTCGCGATGGTCTGACTTCTCCGGCACCTGTTCAAGACACCATTCACATTGTCCATGGATGCGGGGCAGAGCCTGACGACGCCACTGGAAAGCCGTGGCTGAATGCTTCTCCCATTCCAGTGTGTGAACCCGCTGCCAGTGCCTCTTGAAGTACTTGGCGTTGGGATGCCACTGTCTGCACAAGGCACAGTGTTGTCGTAACTCGTCACGTAGTGTGGGGGTGATGGCACCAGCACTGAGGTCCGAGACGGAGAAGTCACCGTCCTGCACGAGTTGCATGACGGTCCGGGTGACGGCAGTCGCTGGGGGTTCAGCCTGGTCAGGAGTCGCCTGGCAATGATTCTCCACGATGTGTTTTTCCAGATCAGCCCACCTGTCAAAACGATGAAGACAACCAGCACACGTCGGCATGCCGTCTTTGCCGTGCCTATGTCGATCGAACTCAATGATCGTTTCCTGTGCCATCTGCATGCGCTGCTCGCTGTGGTTCTTGGCGATGTGCGCTCGCAGTGCTGCTCCCGTGCCGAACCGAGCGCCGCACTCAATACAGATGTGTTCACCATCATCTGTGGCTCCTTTCGCCTTGGTCGGGGAAGTGATCTCCTGCAGCTCCGCGAGTACTGCCTGTTCATGTGCCCTGAGTTCCGGCGCAATCCGCGCATCTGTGGACTGAAGACAGTCAGCCAGTGAAGTAGTGGTCGCGATGGCCTTTTCCAGGCGAAGGCGCAGCATGGTGGCGGGAGGGTCGATTTGGATTCGGTGCCAAAAACAGTCATCACTCTCAAGATCGAGGTGCCTGGGGCTGCGTGCGATGGCTCTGGCCTGTCTGGTGAGGACAACACGCAGCATGTCGAAGATCTTAGCCGTGAATCCCGAAGCAAGCAAGGAGTAGAACGCTGAAGTGACCACCGTGACCTTCCACAGCATGAGCCGCTTGTGCATGCTGAGGGCCCTGTGCGCCATCAAGGTGGGACGAAGTCTACAGAAAGCAGCCTTGCACGCCTGTAGTCGATGAAGCATGTTTTGTTTTTCGAAGTTCTCGTACGAGATGCATGCACCTAGGTATATGTGGGATTTTTTGAGCGGCATCTCCCAGTTCATGTCCAATCTGAGCAACTTGCCGTGCTTGGTTTTGCGAATGATCTTCCGCAGAGCATGCGGAGCTTGCACACCGTCCGCTCGCAATAGGCAAACAGTCTTGTCCACACTGATCTTGAGCTTGAGCTGCTGAAGTTTGCTGAGGACGATACCGGCCTGTTCGAGCGAGGTGAGCAAACCGGCGACATCATCGAAGCGCCACCTGAAGTGAAGATCGTCGGCGAAACCGACCGTGTGCTGTTTGCTCCAACCGCTGCTGAGAACTCCGTCTAAGGCTCTGAGCACATACACTGAGACGCATACCCAAAGGGTGGGGGAAAGCTTGCAACCTTGCCGGAAGCCTTTGTCAGAGGAGTAGCACGCTGCATCCGCTCCGTTTCCGATGTAAAAGGACGTTGCCTCAACCCATTGGAGAATGAGCTCACGGAGCGCCGTCGGGACCTCCATCAGGTCCAAGGCTGCCCTTAGTAGGCTGCGATCCACACTATCGAATGCTTGGGTAAAATCCACGCTGAGTTGTAGTCCTCCTGCGCAGGAACCGCGCTTGGCACCAGCACGTAGCTGGTAAAACGATCTGCCCTGTGCCAGAGCTGCTGTTCGAACCTCACGACAGTGCTGAAAGACGACACCCAGGGCCTGGTGAGGAGAACGAAACGGTAGGTATCCATGTAGGTGCAACTGCGAGGTCCACGGCTCCACATACGGTTCTAGGTGCTGTTTCAGGACCCCAGCCAATGCCTTTCCCATGGGCTCCAGCAGAGCAATGGGCCTGAGATGCGCGGGTGAATCGCCCGCTTTGCCCACCTTCCCCAAAAACACCAACCAGGCGGCTGCCCATTCTGAGAAGACTCGGGCTTCCCCCTGACGCCAAGCCTCGAAGACATGTTTATCCATGAAGTCCGCAATGTCGTGGGCTGCAAGATTCCAGAATGCATGTGGTGCACAGTGTTTGGGTGCGGATTTCCGAGCCTGAAGCTGTTGAAGTGCTTGTGCGAGCTCGTCCCGGGTGATGTCATACTGCACAGTGACCGAAGATGCCTGCCACGTGTGCTGGATGCCACCGTTAACACCCTTCCAGAAGTCAAGCAGGACCTTCGTTTCCTCGTTCGGGGTGAGGAGTTTGCCAGTGTCGCTACGAAGCTGTGCTCGTCGTCGTGGTTGTTTTGGAGCATGCCTACGCAAAATGTCAAAGATGGCCGAAGTACAACCGGATCGCTCATGAGCCTGCGCTTCCGTGAGAAGCTCATCCAATCTCTTCCTGCGTAGCTGCCTGCTGCGTTTCTGCACTATCTTATGCATGCGATGGAACTGAAACCAATGTCGCCATGCCTGGACTGCATTGCGCAACAAAGTTCGATTCGTAAAATTGCCCGGCGACAACTGGCGCATGCAACGGTAATGCTCCCACATCTGTCTGATGGTGCCTACATGCTCTGGGTCCTCGGCTGGTGCCCTCAAGCAGCTGGGGCGCTTGATCTGAAACACCTGGTCGCCAGCATCAAGCAGGACTTGATTGAGCTCTTGGGGCCGATAAGCACTGACCTGCTCCAATGATGCAGCCACCGTCTGCCGAAACTGCTCTGCCAGCTCCGGTGCCTCCTTGACAGCCTGTGTGAGGAGCTTGCATTTCCACGCCGGCCACTTGGCTGCCGTGCTGACTGCAGGTGAAGAAGAGTGGTAGGGCCGCAGCGTGAAGTCCACTCGCACGGGTAGGTGCCGACCTCCCTTCCGCCACCTGCCCACCTCAAAGTTCCGCAGCAATGTAGCCTTGTGCAACCTGTGTTTACGCCTACGCAAGAAGATGAAGTCAACAAAGGAGCGCCTGGCCTCTGCGTAGCCTTCGTGGATATAGGTATGCGAATCGACCCTGCCGAAGGAATTGACAGCAACGCAGCCAAAGTCAGACTGGAGTTCTTCTAAGGAATCAGCATCCGGAGAGGGTTGCGACTTGCGTAACATGCCCGAACCTGCATAGGGAAGACGCTTCGCAATGGTAGTGTTAAAGTCACCGCACATGACCAGCGTACTGCCTTGAGGAATCTGACCCAGCGTAGCTCGAACCTTGTCCCACACCACAGCTCTCTTGGCCTCTGTGGTGGACTGCTCTGATTGTCGCTCCCATACGTACTGGTACACATTGACAACTTCGATCCAACCTAGTCCCTTGCCGAAGACCTTGGCATGAAGAACACGTCCTGGGACCACATGGTGAAACCGAAGACTCTGCATGTTGAACGCGCTGGACCTGAACAGAATCATCACTCCTGCGTGCGCTCGTTTAGCTTGCTCGCCGATGCCACTGTTGATGCACTGCCAGCCCCTCGTGTGGAAATCCATGTGACTGCGGAACCAAGTCTCTTGCAAGCAAACTACATGGAAGGGCTGTGAGTCCAGCCAGGTAAGACATTCGTCCTGCAGGTTACCAAGGCCCCCGCAATTCCAGGAGAGCAACGACAGCGAAGATTCTGAAGTAGAAGCCCAGCCATCCGACCTGTGCTTCGGTTCCGAAACTTGCTGCTGGTTGCTGGTGTAGGCGCCAAGGAGGTCGCCCTCGTCCACTGTACGCCCCTTGTAGTTGGTGAAGCCATATCGTCTCGCCCTCAAAATCGCTCGCTTGTAGGAGCGTTTTCTAGCACTAGTGAAACCGTGAGGTTGGCCTATATCGCCACTTTTCGCAGGTGAATGATGCTCGGGTAGATCACAAAGCAACCTGCTCTCGAGGCCCTGGCGAAGGTTACCCCAACCCTCGCTTCTGCTGAGATCAAGAAGACGACCAAAATATTCAAGGCCCTCGTTTGTCCCAGCCTCCGGAATTGGGACCGGAGCGGCCATCACCATGTTCTCTGAATTTGCTGTTGCTGCACTGCATGCGTGGTCATGAAAATCCATGTGCATAATACCGTGAAAACCGTGAAAACGAATAAAAGGAGGTATCGATCCAACCAAAACGAAGAAAAGCATGCGAAGTCTCGCTGACTGGAAGTGCAGTGTGGTTCCAGGAAACAGAGAGCACTGAGCGCTGCAGACCATGCGTGTTTCTACGAGAGCTACAGCTACCCCGCCCCGCTACCCACCACTCACAGCAACCGGTCTTGGGCCGAGAAGCTTGGTTTACAAGATTCTCCTTGAAGTCGTCAATCGGTCTCAAGCGTCCTTTTTGCACAACACAGAAGCGGCGCACCGGGATCCACGCCTCGAATCTCTTTCCAATGTCTCCTGGGGTCATCGGCCCGTCCAACCACTTTTTCTGGGTAGCCTCCTGAAGAGTTACATCGTACAGCTCCTCGGCGTTCTCGTCAAGAGGATCGGCTGACACACGTGCCAGGAGAGAAGCTCTGATGCTGTCTGCATTTTCCATCAACTCGGATTCGCTGATGGAGGCGAGGTACCCTCCTTCCCTGAACACACCAGAAGGGCTCAGGCACCCAACCAAGCGAAAGCCTTGGCGCATCTCAGAGAAGAGACCCTTGTCGGGCCAGTCTATTTCGGCCGCCATCTCCTCCAGTAGCGCCGTCCGCTTGTTGGCGAGGATCTCCTTCACGGACGGTTGCATCTTGGCACGGTGAGCGTGCTCGACTGGCGCCAGCTCAGTCGCTCTGGCCCTCCACTTTTGCAGACGAAGAAGTCTCAACTTGCAGATCTCTGCAGGGGATTTTGTCAGCTGCTCAAACAGGGATTTGATCAAGTAGTCCGGCAACTGCGCAAGAGAGTCAAAAGGATGATATAGCAGCTTGGCCTCTCTGACGAAAGACTCTGGGCTCCTAAAGACCCCGAAGACACAGAAGAGACCCTTATTCCCCCTATTTTCGGAACGCAAGAGCTTGCTCACGCGGGGACACCGTGCACATCCTGCGTAAGACATCGCTTGTGATTAAGAGGCGGGGCCCGGGGCAGGAGGCGGGATAGAACTGCAGCGTGCTCTGACAAGAGCTGTGGGTGTAGGCGTCCTCGCGGCTGCTTATGGGCTCGAGCCAAAAGTGGCTGAGCCGAGCCCAACACATAGTTGAGCCTGGCAGCCTCCGACTCAAAGACATCACACAAGGCCTGGCACATGGCCGGAGGATAGGCTGCTTCCTCCGCTGTGGCGAAGGTGTCATCAGAAGTAAGGCCCCACGTTGCATGTTGTTTACAGCCTGGGCACATCAGAGCCATGCGAGAGATGCCCGAGCTGCTGCACAAGAAAGATGTTTTCTTATCTCGTTCGCTGCCGAAAGCGCAAGCCTGGCAATGCGCGAAGAAACCATGAGCCAAAGGGTACGCAAGACATGGCAACTCCCAGAAGGTGCTGTTAGTGGGGTTTTCGACGCACCAAGGCACAGAGTGCTGATCGCACAATTCAAGAAAAGCGCATAGTTGCTTGTATATGGCATTGGCAGCTTTGAGCTTGACACAATCTCTGGTGGAGGCCCACGGGACACCCCACGGATGTGAAGTGGTGCGGAGCACTGGGGGGCCCGGGCGAAAGTGACGAGCAGCACTGCAAGTGCCGCAAGGCGGAGCCGCAAACACCACGGCAACACGACGGGATTTGATGACAAACTTGAGGACCTCCCAGGAATGGCTCTGGGTCAAGTCCAGATTGACCATCTTGCACTTAGGTGTGTGGCGGTTGTGAGCATGATCCACGGGCATGATTGCAAAGCCGCGGCTGGCGGCTGTCTGACTGAGGATGGCGGACCCGGCGCACAGCTCGATCACTAGAGGCCCGTCCGCAGGCAATTCAGCGGAGGGGAAGGCCGGACTCGGTTGAGTCAACGGCGCCGAATCAGTGGATACCTGAGGGCACCGCAAATCGTAGCCTTGCAAAGGGTACGGCTTCATGGTGGGGCCCTGCTGGACATCACGGCCGGGGATCTTAAACCCTAGGGAGGTCAAGAATTCCCTATCATCGGGAGCTAAACCGGAGAGATGACCCACGGTAAACGCAACCAGAAGAGATCTGGAGCCCTGCCACGGCAAGGTGAAGTGTTTGCAATGCTTAGCATCAAAAGCCCAAGCATGAGTAGCGCAATCAAGTTTGAAGCCTGTCCATGATGCATCTTCGTAGAAGGTTTGATCTGGACCCTCAGGATGCACGACGAAGATGTGTCCACCTGAGAAGGAGGACAATGGCACAACAACATTAGGCACGCTGCTATTGAAGGAATCTTGATGCATTGGAGCTTGCAAGTTCCGATGCACAGACACAGACGTGAACTCGCATTGGGGTGCGACGAGTCTGATACACGCGGCAAGATACTGTGCCACTGCTGGCATGCGCCGCGTGTTGCTGCGAACAGCGGTGACTCCTCCTCGGTTGCATGCACCGACAGTTATATGGCCTTAGAGTCGCCATCGGATTCCAGCCAGGTCCGAGTATGGTCCTCGGAAGGAAAAGCGTCCAAAATGGCCGCTATGTTGTTTGCACCGAAGTCGGAAGATTGTAAAAAGTGACTTGCCAAAGACTCGCAAAACGCAAATGCATCATCTAATTTAGCCGCCTTACGGGGCGGCTCCGGGGGAAAACAAGTGGAGTCGTTGAGCGACTGTTCAGCTGCTGGTTCCATACCGACAGTTGAGCCATAGCTCTGTGTGACATCTAGCCCACCGTGCGCCACTGGCGATGGTGGGTCATGCGCGCTCGTCTGACTCATTAGTCACGACGAGGGCGCCTTCTTCGCAGGGCAATCCTTGGCTGGGTGCCCTCTATGGCATCCTTTGACTGCGCACAAGTGCAGTCCTCTTTCACACCTTTGGTTGGCCACTGCTCGGGAGCATTTCCCTAGCGAATAGTCGAAGCATAAGGCATGCCCCTTAGGCGTAGCGGCCACGCACCCAAGTGCGAGGAGCTCTGCCGGGACTCTGGCATTGGTTGAGCCCTTGCCGGCGCCCTTGCCCCCGCGCCCGCGGCCCTGGCCCTTGCCATTGCCCTTATGGCGCTTGATCGGGGGTTCATCTCCTGAGGAACCATCGCGGCTTGCTCCTGAGCCTACTGCAAGAGGCCTCGGAGTCAGCATTGAAAGAAACTCAGTGCTCTCAAACACTTTGCGGAAAGCGCCGTCACATGGCCGTGATCCTCCTGCCTTCACCTTGATGCCGCCGCGGGTGTGTTCCGCGAGCAACATGGTGAATTGACGATCAGCTTGCTCAATCTGTTTCAAGCTCACTCGCGCATGATTCGGAGGAGGGTCCATAAGCCTGAAAGACATGTACTTTTCAAGCAACTCATCGTGCAAATGGTACGCCAAGATGTTCGCCTGTTCAAAGGCTAGGCCCCTTCGCACTAAGGCGTAGCGAACCATCATATCAGTGGACACATCACAAGGAGTCACGTTGGGCTTGCTGGCAATCTTTAGGCCGCCTGCAGAATCCAAGGTAAGCGAAGCATCCTTCTTGAGCCCTGTAAGAAGCTCATGCTGTCTGCTAACAGAATGCTGCCACTCCACATACTGGAGTCTGTCAGATTCGTAGATCGCCACAGCCCGATCAATCAAGGAGTCGCCTGGCTCCATATTGCCCCTCAAGTCAAGACCTTTAAGTCTGGACTGCTGCTCTCGCAAACGTTCGGCCCTGTCTGCTGGAGCTAGTTTCTTGATCGATGAGTCTTCTGTTGCTTCCACCTGCGATCGGATGTCGGATGCAACAGTTGCGTATGCCTCGGCGAACAGACGCCGAAAGCAACTCATCTCCTTAAGGGAAGGCGCAGTACCGAGGACCTTGGTTACCAGGTCGGTGAGAGGTTACTCGTCTGTCGCCGACGGGTTGAAATGACAACAGAAGGCGAAAGTTGCCATCGTTGTCAGTCCCTCCGCCTCAAGCTTCGCGAAGCTCTCATCAGAAACTCCGATGTCCTTGGCTCTCGCCTTGAAGACAGCCGCACTCTCTCCAAACGACATGGCTCTTTCTTTCTAGACTGTCAAGCTCAGACTAGGGCCCAGCACGCTTTGCAATCACTTTTGTCATCGGTAGCTCCCTAGCGCATCACACAATTCACGTGACAAGCATCGCTCAAACAGCACTTGTAGTTCTGCACTTCCAAGACACAAGCAGTCACTACGAGATCGCGCTGGTTATTCATCCACGACCAAGGTGACATTTGCATGTTGCCTTTTCTCAGACCCCGCGAATTTCGCCCACGCGTGGCGTTGACTCCTGACACGGCTTTTGAACCTCAGGAGTTTGGAAAGCAGGTGGCGCATGTAGGATACATAAATCTTGGCGCCTCGCTTAAAATCTCAAAACGCACTGAGATCGCTCTACCGCACTTCAAGTGGGTCCCGGCCTCATCTCTCACCTTGTGCAAGAACCTAGTCTGTTTGTGACGAGCCCAAGGCCCGTCGCCGGGCTCGGGGCCCCACTGACCGGCGATCTGCTCCAAGGCCTGCTCCTCGTCACTCACGGGGGCCTCTTCCTCATCATCGGACGCCTCGCTAGAGCTCGATGATATGGCGTCAGCCTCCTCCTCATTCTCAGGTGGAAGCTGTGGATCTGCAAGATTGGCTATCATCCCACTTCGAGTGAGATCCGGCTTGAATCTACCGGCGGCAATCTCGTCGATTACCTGGTCCAGCTCGCGCAATGGAGCCGCTAGTGAATCCCTGGCATAAATGATTAACGACTTGTCCTTACGCGGCACGTGGTAACCCAGAGTGCGACGAGGGCCGGCCGGCACGCCTCTTTTCGCCATCCAGGAGAGCGGTGTACTCTTACAAGAGTGGGTCGCGATCTGGACGTCGCCAGGTGCTGCACTCGCGCCAGGAATCAAGCTTCTCAGCCAGGCGCCTCCACTTGAGACCTTAAGCGGAAGTCTTGTCCACCCGCCTCCGGTTGCGGGGCACGGAAGTGTAGGATAAGAAGTATCGAGACCCTCTGCCTCTCGAAGCTCAAGCCATGCTCTGATCCAAGGCCTACCTCCTACACATTTCAACGGAACAGCGATGGGAAGAGAGCGGATCTTCCTTTCAAGCGACACCGATGTCTTGGTCCTCTCGGCTTGCCCTTCAAGGTACCCTGATTCCACGCCATCAATCAAAGCTGAATCAATCGCGAAACCTGAAGAACGTTGCATGTCTGAAAACCGTAGGCGACCATATATCATAAGCAGAAAACACCCAGCTGCGATTCGGTCCATTGGCCGCGCCATGGGGCTGAGCACGAGAGCTTCGAGTCGCTTGACTTGCTCCACGGTTAGAGCAGGCCTGCGCTTAACTGCACACCTCGTCGAGTAATGAGCATTTGCAAGCCCTACGATCCTCCCGCTGCTCAGGGCTTCGTCCAACACGATCAAGCCTAGCAGATGTTTGGCGAAGCTGAAAGCGATCAGCAGCGACCTGAACGAAGTCGGGGCCGCATTCGGATTTGCCTTGAAGTAATCGTAGAGCTGGTGCTCTCTCACAGGCAGGCACACTACGAACTGAAGCTTCCAGAAGTGCACGTATCTGAAGATGGGTCCCACGCGTTGGTGCAAGGTAGCTGTGGCTTTGTCTGCAAGACAGTCCTGCACACTTTCCACCAAGCCTCCTGTGGCAAATTTGGGATCGAAAGGCCCCATGGCTTGCTTGGCTACACCCCAGGCGTTAAAATCCAAGGAAACAAGCGTAACCCACTTCTTCAAGGCACACTTCCTATTAGCATCCAGGGCCTTAGACCTTAGGTGAGCATCTCGGGCTGACAATGGCTTCAGTCCCGCTGCAAGGAATGCTGACTGCGAGGCTCCAAGATCTGGGCCGGAGCTGGATGAAGCGGCCATCGGCCCTGGACCCGGCGCTGGGGGCAAGAGCCCTGTCGGCCTAGGCAAGAGGCAGCTTCTCCTGAAGAGCGAATGCATTTGTTCTGGAGGGCTCGGGAAGATGCCTACCGATCTCTTATAAGCATTCCAAGTATGAGCTGCATGAAAGGCCACTGCCCTACTGTCGAACGGGGCAGATTCATCACCTTCGCCCATCTTTCAGCTCTGCTGCCATCTGCCGCTGTCGGCGACAGCGGCGTGCACGGTGGGCTAAGCCCAACGTCGAGAGAGGGGCCCTGGTTCAATGCAGGGTCCTGAACCTCAAAAGGCCCCAACAAAATTTTCTTTTCCTCATTCACACTGATTGAGGAAACTGGCAACGGCATGAGATCATGAATAATTCACTCAGCAATTCATGGAAAATAAAAGATCATGCAATCAATAGTGGTGTCCATGAAAAGCAATCCAGTGGAATCAAGAAGAGTGCATCGTCTTCTCTTTTTTTTTTTTGAAACCGCCTTCCCATGGAAGGCTGTCCGACGTTTCATAAAGGTATATCGTGCGCGCTCGACAGAGTTCAGGTCGACGCGCTCATGGTCTTTCTCCGTGAGTAGGAGGAGAGGCGTGGAAGGATTGGCCCACCTGAGACTCCGGTCGATGCGTCTTGCGCCTCGAAAGAGGTCGCTGGAACAAGTCGCGAAGATGCCCCTTCAGATTCAACGTCCTTTCGTCATGGCCAGATCTCCGCGATATTCTCAACCATGATCGTCATTTGCACAACGCGTCGTATTTCCACGTCCATATCTTCCATATCTTGTCGGCCATAATGTCGCGCATGCCCCGCTTCATGGCCTTCTGTCTGTCTGAGTTGTCGGATCACAAGACCAGCCAAACCTTTGCGGCACTCCGTCTCTGAGCAAGCCGACTCCGCGCTCCATCGCTCTGTCTGGTAGGGTAATTATGAGTCTGAACACCCGTCCGAATTAAAGGCCTCATTTAGGTAAGTTATAGTCCGATCAGTCTTACCAGCTACTACAAGCTGCTTCGATTCTTGCAAAGCCTTGCTTGCTGCGTCTGCAGGGATTCTCTGCACGGGCCCAATAGATTCGCTTATAGACATAGAAGACCGACAAAATGATCGAATCCAGAACAGAAGTATCCCAGACACATCCCCAGAAGTCCCTGCTCCTTAGGGTCTGGCCGTGTCTTTGCAGGATGGCTGCTACAAGCAGGCGAAAGGCGATGTTGGTGAGGTACACACGTCCGAGCGAGCTTGCTGGAACTGCTGGCGGCAGCCTGAGTCACAGCAATATCTCAGCCCCAAGCAGGCCAAAATTCATGCTTTAGTGTTGATCTTCTCCCTCAAACTGCCATGCAAGTCTGTCTCTGCCAAACATGCCAACACGGCGGAGAGAGAGAGAGAGAGAGAGAGAGAGAGAGAGAGAGAGAGAGAGAGAGAGAGAGAGAGAGAGAGAGAGAGAGACTAATTAAATCGCGTCATTTTTCTTCCCGGTGCTTTCCATGTCGCACGAGATGCGGAAATGTCACGGCACCCATGCAACCGAACTTTCGCAAGACAGCGTCGATTCGGCTGCACGCGGTGAGCAACTTCCCGTACTTCCCCGGGGCTTTGTGTGTAGCACGAGGCGCGTAATTAAATGTCACGGCACCCATGCAACCGAACTTTCGCAAGACAGCGTCGATTCGGCTGCACGCGGTGAGCAACTTCCCGTGCTTCCCCGGGGCTTTGTGTGTAGCACGACGCGCGTAAATGTCACGGCACCCATGCAACCGAACTTTCGCAAGACAGCGTCGATTCGGCTGCACGCGGCGAGCAACGTCGCCTACTTCTAAGAGCAAGCTTCAGAGCCCCAGACGGCGTAAGAAGTCCTCCGTCTGCTGATCGGGGTCTTGCGCCCATCCGCGAGCGTTCTTCCCGGAAGAGGAGCAGTGCACATCGAAGTTAGGGAGGCTGGCGTAGTACTGCATGCACTGCACACAGCCAGCGCTGGCCGCATATAGAAATTTGTACTCCAGTTGACGATCTTCATCCAGATGTGCATGCCTTCGCCAGTTCCGGTAATGAGGCTGGTTTTCACAAGGTGTGTAATCCACCGATGTATCACTACTCTCACTAGACATGCTGCTTGACGACGAGGTATCCCGCGGAACTTCGCCTGTCTCTGCGGCCGTAGGGCTTGGTGACCTCGGAGCGGAGGAAGGGCCAGCACCTCCGGCCGCAGCGCTGGGTGTCCGCGAAGGGAAACTTGCCCATGCAACACCGCAGCCCGGTGTCTGTGAAGCAGAACTGGGACCACAGTCTTCGCTCGCAACGTCAGGCGGCGACGAGGGTGGCGGAGGGACATTTCTTGCCCAATGAACTCGAAATGTCTGAGAGGGAATGGCAGCGCCAGCAGCAGCACAGCCTCCGCCCGCGGTGTTGGGTTGCCGCGGAGGGGCTTTAGGCCAAACATGCCGCGGAGAGGCACTTGGCCATGCTGAAAACGGTTTTTGCCGAATCTCACACCATCGCTCAAACCTTTCCATCTCAGTGGCGAGCCATGTCTGGAACCCTGCATCTCCGGCTTTGTTTGGACGACCGTCTCTCGTAGAATGCGATACTTGTTCCTCACGGTGTCCACGTCCATCCATTTAGCACTGTCAGGATCGAGCCGCAATTTGTTCAAAAAAACACCGAAATCCGCCATCGAGCAACTGAGCTTTCGCAAGACAGCGTCGACTCAGCGATTCCCCGGGAAACTATGAACGTCGACGGAGCCAAAAGCTTCGTTGAACAACCACCATGTCGCATGAGGCAAGTTTCAGACTGAGAATAGGGCTCGTGCACCAAAGCATACATGGACGTCGCCGTAGAGCGCGAGCAATCACCTGATGCAAGGCGGCTGCATAGAGTCTATAGAGGCAAATGTCAGGATATGCAACAAGTCCAAGCTGAAACTCGACCGAGGAGCAATCCTGAATCCGTTTAAAGTGCCCTACAAAGCAAACCAGACAAGAGGTTTCCACGTCATCAGCCCCAGTCGACCGTCCCGGCCTGTGAACGGATCACTTTGCACATTCCGGGCACCTTCGCAAGTGCCGGGAGCAGTTCGACCACAAGCGATGATTTACTGGGCCTCGCGAACCTGGTGCATCCATTCTGTTTGT